GCCTACCTAACGGGCTTACAGCTCTTTTACACACCTGTACCGGAGGTTCTTGTCAGAGTTCTTGTCGTAGGTTGAGTCGGGCAGCTTGGATACGGGTTAGAACAGGCCTGCCGGCAATCACTAGCCCAATCTAGGCCAATAGCCATAGCTATAGCTGCTACCTACCACAGCAAAGTCCTCTATATCCTTTATTCCTTGATGTTACGAGTAATGCCCTTGTTACTGGTAGCGATGCCGTTACTTTCAAGGCCATCTTTGCCGCGGGCGGTGTGGCCTCGCTGGCCGCGCCGACCTCCGACTCAGCGGCTTGTCGGGACGTTGGGGAGTCGAGAGTCGGGGTGATGCCCCGCCATGCCCCACCTTTCGTGGAGCTTTTGTACATTGTAGCTCTATAATTATATAGACTTGTCGAACCGTTCCTTAGGTTCGTGCCCGAATGTTTTGCAGATTTCACACGGTTTGTGCATCCCAACAGTGGGCCGAAGCACCCCGCGCGAGCCTAGGTCACCCGCCGAGCCTCCTATGCCATGCTCATGGCGTTGGATGTGGTGGCACCGAACCGCGTGAATGTCCACGTGACGGACAGGCGAAGCGATTCCAAAGAGCAGTGCAAACAAAAAGGTCAGCATGCAGCATGCTGGCAGGTCCAAGAGTTAGGCGCATTACCATAAAAGGAGAGGGACATGACATGAAATGAATAGATATCAGATGGAGGCTAGATGACGTCTTTTGGGACTTGGAGGTTGCACCTCCACTCATCACTCAGAAACATCGGAAGAAACCTTTCAGAAGAGCCACCCCATCCTTTACATTCCTTAGCGAAGATGGAATGATCCCATGGCATCGTTGAAGCTTCTCAGCGGGGGTAAGCTGAAGAGTGAGAGAACAAGAGCGGTCCCAGGCAGTTGCGGAGTGCCGCGCAGCTGGGCGCCTTGGTCGTGGCCCTGGACGGTGCCAACACGCAGGATGCGGCAGCCAAAGCGCCGCCGCCGATGTTGGGGGCGTAACTAGTACTGGGAGGGACGGAGGGCATAGATCGTCCAGTATATATATATAGGATTATATAGGCCCTACAGGTCGAGGACCTCATTTGACTGGGTCCGGTCATGCAAAACTAGTAATTAATTACTCAATGAGGTCAAGGACCAGGTTTAACTTGGTCCTTGGACTTGTAGGGTAGGAGTACTGATAATTAGATGCATGCCGATGCCCGATTTCGAGCTTGAATTTGCTCAGTAGATACGTGAGCCAGAGCCACCGGGTTGGCGTGTCACAGGAGGTCTACTCCAGCACAGCGGACGCGATGCGTGAAGTGGCTCGCGATTATGGACAGCCTCAGGGTGTGCAGGCGCCCGAAACGGCCGAACGCTCTCCCCAAGGGGGATAGAAGAAGCCCACTTACAGTTAATGGCAGTTATGGTGAGTGTTTCCCACCTGTTACTGCTCCTGTTTTTGGGTGCCAACTGAGTTCGTTAGCTGAGCAGTTGTTGGTCCACGTAGATGGATGTTCATTTGCTCCTCGTCCCCAGCTGCCAGAAGTCAGGAGATCAGCGGAAGCCACCGCTAGACCATGCTTTGTAATCCATCATGGTGGGGCAGTTCATCCCAGACAATACTTGCAATTCTCCCGGACCATTCAGCAAATCTTGTTATATACTACTTGATTTTGCTCAGGGGAGATGGACCATGTCTCCAGATCATATAGATGAAACCCCTTCTGGGGAAGCTCGAGCCTCAGCAGGCACAGTGGACGGCCATCGCCCAAGCCACTGCAACCGGGCATGCTTAAGGTGGTCGATGCCAGAGACTGGAAGGTGGCGGTTGGGTGCAACCTTCGGTGCTTCCGCTAGTTTAGACTCGTCATGCAATTCAGACGGTATATATGTGTATATATAACACACTACTATAGATATATATGAACACACTATATTCAGATGGTATATGTATACACCATATAGCACACTGCTACTATATGTTGCTATTGATACATCCATCGGGAGAGAGGCAGAGAGGCACGGGGAGAAGCGAGACCAGACACGAAGGAGCAGCAGCATGTAGCAGCAGCATTTTGTGTGTACACACGATTTCTTGTATTCTTCAGGGTCCGGATGACCTGGGGCAGAGCATGGTCACATGGGCTGAGTGGTTTTAAGTCTTGAGTGGGTTTGACCACCAAAGGCGTGGAACAAGAGAGCAGGTGCTGATTTCCGGATTCATCCGTTCAAGAACTCCAGTGAACTTTGTTTGTTTCTCTCCCCCTTGGGTTTCTTTTCCTGCCTTTTGGCTTGTAGCAGGTGGAGGAGGTTACTGAAGATGTTCATGACGCGCAGCCATGGTAGGAATTTGTACTGAAGTTGGGAGGTTCCCCCCCTTCGTAGGATTTCCCTTGCTTGGAGAGCCTCAATGCATCAGTGCCTCATCCCATTGAGACATTGAGACATTGGCCCATTTGAGCCATCGGCTTGCGGTATTGGTGGATGCTTGAAGGGCGCTGTTCGTCTCAAATCCCATTGCTTTCGGGTCTCACGACGCTGGGCCATAGCCGTCTCAACTCCTTTGGGCTCAAGATGTGCTGAAGGCCATAGCCGTAGCCTTCGGTCAGGACGTGCTGAGTTGTTCTACTCGGCCAGCTCCTGAGCAAAGAGGTGAAGACACACAAAACATGGATGAAGGCCTCACGAGTCAAGCCAAGTGGAATGGGGCCTCGCGCACATGCACAACATGGAGACAAGTGGGATGGTCCCTTCCCAAACTGCTGGGGATGGAGGGTTCTGAAGCTGTCTTTCGAAGTGGCACCTCAGGGGCTCCTTGCTTGCGTGTCCGCTGCACCGCTGTAAGGTGCATACGTCACGGAGGGATTCAATGATGAAGAACGAGGCGATTCCGATGGATTGACATCTCATGGCGATGGGCCGGAGATAAGACATGGAAGCCAGGGAAGGGCGTCCGGGAACTACTGATATATAAATATATATACTCTCCCTGGAACTAACATGGAAGTGGAAAACCACCTGTTTGTAGTGGATTTCATGGTCTTCTTTTTGGGGCCATTCTCCACTTCCATGTTAGTTCCAGGGAGTGTAATATGTTGTATCGTAGCGGGGACCATCCACGATCCTCTTGAAGGAAGGAAATCCTGGCACTTTTTGCACAACCTCCCATCAACTTCCACTTGTAGAGCAGGGTGGGTAGACTACCGATGCCCCAAGGGAAAGCAATCAGATATTGGATGAATGTGAACTGCTGCAATGTGGGCAAGCGTTATTTCATGGTAGCAGGTGGCTGGTGCAGAATCCTGCAATCACACGTGAATATCGCACATTAATTGAAAGAGACACACTTGAACATGTATGTGGTCCTCCTTTCGTCTTCTTTCGCTTTGAAGGCGAAGCTTGCTTGCTTCTCAGTTCAATGGGATTTTTCAGGCACACGCAGATGCAGAGGATTACACCGAAAGTGATGATGAGGGTGCTGACGGCTATCGCACCTTGGGCCGGCAGAGGCCCCCCCCCTGGCGTGGTCGGAAGGAACTGGCGAAGGTGGAGACTTAGAGAGTCCACGTTCCGAAATGGGGCCTTAAGGAGTCACAAGTCATCAGGAGGTCACCATAGGTCACACTTGCCCATAACCTGCCATCAGTCAGGGGAGGCGGCAAGGTGCGGTACCACCAGCGGTGCAGTATCTCTGCCAGCTGTGCATTGAGTCACCTCCAGTCACTGGCCGAATCCACCACAGAACTGCTCTATCCGAAAGGTCTGAAGGGGCGCGACCCACCAGGTGAATGATCCATCCAGGCCCGGGCTCTTCCCCAAGTCTTCCCCAAGTTCCATCAAGTCGACTTTCAAGTCGACTGTTCTTTCACCTCTTCCTCCGTTTGGAACGTCAGTTCATTTCGTCATTTCGCCGGCTCGGAAACGCACACAAAACCGTGCATGGCTGAGGAAAAGGTGGATATCACCCCGTGCACGTGGGTGAGATCTATAATGGACGTTATCATGTGCTGGCGAAGTTAGGCCACTGGGAAGAAATTAGGCCACTTCATGTGGTTGAATGGAACAGCTTGATTTTGGTGGTGAAAGGTTACCAATCATTTGCGCACATGTTTTGCCCCAGAGACGCTGTCCACTGTCAACCATGTTTCTTTGCTTACTTTCATGCTTTGATATTGAACCATAATTGACATTGGCCGGAATCCTTGCATCCCAAGCTGGTCCCCTCGTAGGTGCTAGAAATTGCTAGAGCTTATGGGGGTTATGATGTTCCAACGGCCACAGATAGACAAAAGGAACAGGAAATGCAACACATGGCTTCAAATGTGGAGGTGGGGATTCGCTTTTCTGGTGACTTCTTGGTGGCGAGCTGCTCGAAAAGCTGAACCGTGATGGAAGAAGACAAGCATTGACTTTCTACTGTAACATCTGTAACATTACACCCGGAGTAGACGGACATGGATCCTGAAAACCACTGGTTGGTAGAGGAAAACCATTTTCCAGGGGGTCGTTGTCGGGCCGGGGTCTATGTTAGTTTTCGGGGGTGTATTGTGGTGGTGGTGTCAAAAACAAAAACCAGCCAACGATGGCTTTTTGTCGACCCCTCTTTTCATTCTTTTCGCCCAGGATGGGGCCACTTTTCCACCGTGTGGCTTTGTCAGGACTGGAGGGCGTTTTTTTTTGGTGAGGACTGCACACCGGAGTCCTCACTGAAGCTCCACTTTTGAGTGCTGAAACTCTTGTGGCTAAGGATTTAATGATTTTAACTTCAGGATAGTAAACCACCCAACAGCAATAGACCCATACTATTTTAGGTGCAAAGAGAGCGGTAGCTTCCAAATTGGATTATGCACAGGGCCCCGCAGATTTGTACGAATCCCAAAGATGCAGGCAGCCAACCCACTTAGCTTTGAACCCACCAGATGAGGCTTTTTTGGTTTAACCAATGGATGAGGCTCCTTTCGTTGAATCCAACCCCGCGAGGACCTCTCAGCCACGCGCTATGTGGCAATGAAGGTGGCGGCGAAGTTGTGACAGCTCGAGTCGATGAAGGTTTTCCTCCACAGATTGGGGCCGTCATGAACCAGAATGAAATGTCCCTGCAGCTGATGCCCAGGATGTACGCAGCTGATGCGGAAAACAAGTCACTGTGTCCACTGTGTCCCTTTCCTTGCGTTCTGTGAAGGCTGTAAGGGCTCACTGACACAAGGGATTACAAGACAGTAGGAGACAATTCCCTATCAGGGATTATCATGATGCCCCTCACAAGCAGGACCTTTTTTATGATGTTCCATGTCTTTCTTCTCATAAGTTCCTTGAGGGACCAAGAAACCATAAGTCTTTTTTGCCAAAAAAAAGATCGGTGGACTCACCCAGACTCGGTTTTTCTGGATTCGCGTCCAACTCCAGCGGCTGACGGACGTTTGGATGGACCCTAAGAAGAGATCCTTCTAAAATCTTCTAAAGCTTCAATCACATCCAAGGAGCTGAGTGTCAAACTGTGAGTTGGGTACTCTGAGTCAAGCTCAGTTTGCCAGACTCGAGGGTGGAGAGAATTGTTGCATTCATGCAGCCAATATATGAAAAGCTCCCTACTACCAGCAGCTGATTGTGGGGTCCGCCCCAGCGGAGTGGCTTTCAGGTGCAGAAGAGTGCTCCACATTACACAGAAGCCGCGTATGATGAGATTGAGCTGCTCGCCGAGGCTCCATAAGAAGTGCTGAGTGCTCCAACCAGATGGGGCAGAGAAGATTTCATCCTGAGGATCACATAATGACAATAATATGATAATACCCTAAGAATCTGGGCTCTCAAACAGATAGGGTTTGGTTCGGGCCCGGACCCCTGCATTTCGGTGTCGGGTCCGACCCCTGCCAGGAGAGCCCCTGCGGATTCTTAGGGTATATGAATGTAATATGATAATAAGTCAGATCAGTGCGACATCCCCTGAGCTGCTCAGCCTGGCTCGACGACTTGCTAGGCGGCGAAGCGAAGCAAAGACGTTAACTGGGAGGTGGGCGAAAGCGGGCACCCGACTCGTTGGCCGTGCCGCAAGACTGTTTTAAACAAAAAATAAAGCCAAGGAGTTGTCCCCAAGAGTCATTTTGGGTGATGGAGGGTTGTCCAGGATATATTCTGACCTTCCATGACCTTCCCAGGTATTTTTCTTCTTTGCGGTGTTCCAACTCTGGTGGTTTCAAGTGGTGCCAAGTTTGGGTGGGGGGTTGTCGAACAACAGCAACAACATTGAACAAACGACAGCAACACTCGGATGGGAACAGGAGGGTTCGTGTACTGTATATATATATATATGTTTTTGTAATTTGTGAGGGCCGATTTGTCCCCCCATCATCCCCCATCAGATATTACAGCACCCAACCCGCCAGGTTGAGGACTCTGAGTCATGCCCACTCAGTGACTTCATCCAAATCAATGCTTTTTGGCTTTGGAGTCCCCGGACTCCAAGACCAGGTGTTGCGTGGGGTGAAACTGGAAAGGCTGGCTTTCTGGATCATTTGATCGGGCAGGGGACGACCCGGCATCCATTGGGCTTTTGGCCTCTTGGCGGTCCGAATTGGGCTGTTTCATGCTGCCCCACCCTGCCAGACATCCAAATCGGAGAGGATTCCCGATGATTTTGGAAACAGGGTCGGTCCCTGTCATCGCCGAACAGACCGCGTCGCAGGGACTCGCGTCGTTCCGTTTTGGTCCCGATTCATCGCAGGAGACCCAGAAGGGACCTCTCAAGGAGCTGTTTCCCGAGAAGAACAATGAGGGCTTCACCGGTGTCGTGCAGCTCATTGCCCCTTGGTGAAGGGTGAAGGGCTACGTGTGGCTACGTGGAATGGATGTACATGCCCTTGAGATGATCTTTCTTGACATGATTTGCTAAGCTAGTGCTATTTTTCAGTTGGAAGAAGTTCGGGCAGGCTTGAAAAGGGGCTGGCCAGCCCACTTGGAGAATGTAAGGCGCAGGTTCATTGGTCCTTTCTTCGCAAGCCAGCGTTCGGAGCTCACTCACCAACCTGGTTGGACGAGTTCAATGCAAAAACACCCTAGGGGCTGCAACCACCTCCTGAGAAGATGGTTGGGGTGGGTTTGGGGGGTCTAGCCCTAGGGACAAAACCACGCAAAAACCGTGCCGAAGATCAACACCATGTCCAGTAGCCTGTGGTGATTGATTTCGATGATATGTTGGATCGGAATTTGGGAGATGGTGTACTCACCTCCACCCAGCGCTTCCTGCCATCACCTGCCAATAGGTGACATCTTCGGATGAATCGGCTTCTCAGTGTTTCGGAACAGGGCTGTCAGCGAGGGGAGGGAAAGTTGCTGGCTCTTCTGGCCACGCCCAGGACTACTTTGAGCATTTTGGCATTAATGGCAAGCACGTGACTTGTCCTGATTTATATAATTGGGTCAAGCAAAGAGCAAAGGGACATCACACGTGATGGATGTTTCCTATCCGCTTTTGGGCCCTAACTATTGCTGAATCATGCTGAATCCATCTCTATTCTGCTCAAGACCCTCACCCACCATCATCAGCCATTTACTGGTGAAAACGGACTCACAGAGAAGCTTGAGACTTACAGACAGAGTTGCAGTTTCTACGTAGAGTCAGATGTGTGTGTGTGTGTGCGCATGTGTGTGTGTGGTTTCAAGAATGGCAGGACCTAAGAATGTCATTACACAAGATAAGCATGATATAAATATATCATGACATATGCATTCCCGCAGGAATGTACGGTGCAAAGACTGGATCATCACTTTCATTAGTCAAAAGGTATTCATGTGCAGTGATGCAACCCACAACAACTCAGCCTGCCCAGGTTTGCATGGTCTTCGAGACGATGGGCCCTAACGTGCTGGCCCTGATCAAGAGGCCCCGGACCAACCCAGATGGCCGTACACCGATCAGTACACCGATCGAGTGGTCCCTTCGAGCGTGAACTACATGCCCAGAGCACCCCAGAAACAGTTTGGGGTGACAATGACATGTTTGTGGAATGGGGAGGAACATATTCCGTCTAGAAGCTGTTCAAACGCTGCATGGATCCGACTGCCAGGTACAATTTCAAAGGCATTCCGCTCCCTCGGTTTGCTTGAACAATCTTTTGTTGCTGGGTTTTCCTCGGGGAATGTAGCGAAAGTATGGGGAGCACATGGATTTTTGCTGGTGTTGTTCAGCAAGTCCAAGGCTGGACATTGTGAGGAAGGTGACCACACACACCTTGATTGGCTTGGATTATTTGCAGCTTGGCTGACAACTAATATATATATATTTATATATATAATTATGCCTGTGAGTTTAGTCCGACATGGAGTGTCGCTCCTGGTGCATGATTGCCGAACATTTGACCGCGAAATGGTGACTGTTCGAGAGCTCACAACTTGTATTTTTAATAACCGACCATTTTCACTGTATAATATATATATATACTCCACTGGCCATCATGTTTGACCTTCATGGTTTGTGTGCAGGGTTGGTACGGAACTGCTAACCGCTATTAGTGGTGTTGATGAAAATTGACGACGTGAAAGTGTTGGACTTGTTTTTTTCCTCTTGGACATGGGCTTGTTTGCCGTCACTTGGATTGTGACAGGAATCAGTGGACACAGGAATGCTGTCCACTGACCCAAGATGAACCAAGATGGACCAGTCCAAACAGAAAAGCATTTACAGTAGTTGATGGTTTTGCAAGGTTTTGCACCTTTTTTTGCCCCCTCTACTTGGTTTGGCGGATCACTCCACATCTGCCACCAAACCAACCAGAACTCGCCACCGGAGATCCCAGAGACGAGACCGGCGGTCAAACCGCCCTCGGCTCGGCTCGTGTGGTCGTCACACCAGGCATCGCATTTGCGGGATCATCCACACGGATCTGAAGCCCGAGAACGTCTTGGTGGGCTGCCCGCGTGGGGTCCCCGTGAACAAGACGGGCATCCCGCTGGTGGGTAACATTGACCCCAGCATGCGCCTTGGGATTGAAGTGGCGGAGATGGGATTTGATCCGCGGAACGGCACCACGTTCAAGTAGTATATCTGGAATGAAGAATCAGGTGATTATGGTGATTTGGTTTGCTGTTCTGTGGAAATCCTCTCCAGAGAATCCATAGAATCTAGATGCAGGGGGCAAAAGGAGTTTTCCCAAGATCGATGAATCTTTAAGATGTTGGAAAGCAAAGTTTGATGGAACTGGTTCGTGGATCACCGTTTTTGTCACCAGTCGTGACTCACAACTCGAGTAGGGAAATTTGGTCAAGCTGGGCCGCCCATACAGATGATTTATTGGACACTGACATTTGACTGGCGGGTGGCAGAGGAAGCTCTATGCCCCCATTTAGAGTAGTATCAGATAGTATATATCAGCATTCCAGGAGACCTTTTTTCTACAGACAGCCTCGTGGCATTTGTCCCAAAAAAGCAAAGACCCACAACAACCTCGGGAAGCAGATGAGATCACTCAGTGGTTGGTGTATCAACTCCTCCTCAGCTTGCGGACACTGTTTAGCAGTTTAGCATCTTAGATGAGGTCAACCAACATATTCAAGTTTTTAATCGTTAAGGCCGGCAAGTTGAAGCAGACTTGACTTGTCCCTCAAATTGGGTTTTGTAGACTTTAGCTTTGCAGGACCAAAGCTAGGATTCGCCCTGTTAGAGACGTTAACACCTTTTCCAGGTCTTCATGCCGGTGTTGGAGACTCCCCAGCTATGGGTCTATGGGTGCTGGTCTTTCCTTCTTCCAGGGGTCTTTCCCAGGTCTATTCCAATGCACACCCATGTGCCAAAGGGATGGATGTTTCACTTTGGCGGGCCACACGGCCACTCCCAGGTTCGCCAAGAAAGAGCAAGCCGCAGGCAGTGGCGGAGTGGCGGAACCCTCGGTGAGGTCAAGAGACTTGCGACTGGAAGCGGCCAAGTTCGAGGGTGGGACAACCGTAGGTGAACATGTCACCACGTGATGTGGATGGCGGTCATGATGTGGATGGTGATCGTCAGCCGAGATGCATTTAGAATTGCAATTGCATGTGGAGATATTTGAATACAATTATATACAATTATTATATAACATATTTATACTATGTATATATATATATATTAGTTTGGGATTTGATGATTATGGAAGATGCTTAAGGCATATGATCGCTGCAACAACCACCCTCGACCAGGCACACAAGAGGATTACATGAAGAAGGGTGGCAAGAAAAAAGACAAGGACAAGAAGTTTCATGATGAAGGCTGGTTCCGGAGAACACCCATGAAGATCCGGAGGAAGATCATTGCCATGCCGTAGTCTTGGTGTTGTGATAACTGTTTGCTTGCAAGGTAAAACATAAACATTGATATGTTGATGCTATGTTGTTGTTCTTTTTCCACATGCTGTTGAAAAGGGGCTCCTTCAGATCAACTCCAATGTTCCTCTGATTTATCCCACTTGGCACTGATGAATTCCAGGCACCGATGAGGTGGGTGAGGAGGAGGCGATGCCAAGACCTCCACCGATCCTTGCACCGCCCTCAATCCGTGGGGGGTCGGTGCTCCACGTTCGGGACAAACAGGCCACAACCTGAGAAGACCAGTCCAAAACCTACAGTTCTCACCCTTCTCTCACCTGTGTGAAGCCATCCGCCTGGCGAAGGGAGCCAAATACGATGATGTCTCATCTCAGGTGCTGTAAATCAGGGTTGTCCTGCAGGACTTCCCGTCTGACAGTTCAACAGCTCGAGCAAGGGTATACGGAGCAGTTCGCAAGTTCTTAAATATAGAAAGGAGGACTTGGCGTCGGTCCCGAAGCAGCCCGGCGTCGCCCTTGCACCATCCGGGTCGCACAGGTGCCCGACCCCACGCAGACCGCTCCGCCCAACGACGAGTCCCTGTCGCCTCCTTATATGACGCTTGGGGGCGTTTGTTGGGGGACCTGGGCGTACCTCTCGGGAGGAAGTGTCCACCACTCGACCGACCAGTGAGGCCGAAGTCGGGAACTGCGGGGTCCTCCCCGAAGTCGAGGTGATGACTATAAGGCGTGGCTAAGAAGGGATATTGCTAAGAAGTGCCACAGCTGAGTGGCGTTGCTCCACCGGAATGTCTTCGAAGTCTTCACCCTGAACCGCACGAACTGCCACTGCTAAGACCATCGATTTCGACCCCGCCCTGCGGACGTCGATTTCGACCCTGGCCCACTTCAAAAACATGTCGTTCACCTCGGCCCTCCCCAAGCAAGGTGATTCTTCTAGGACTGCTCACCGGGTCAGCTGGGTACATGCGGAAACAGCTTTGCCATCGCAACAGCCCTGTGGAGAGTGGTCGGGGAACTTGTGGCCATTGCGCCACGCCCCGTTCGTGCCACGCCTTCCTGGCGCGTGGCGCGTTCGTTCCATCGCAGCCCAGGAAGCCCTTCCTGAAGCCCAGCCGTTCCGATCCTACGCTTTTGTCTTCCTATGGCGATGATAGCATTGCTATGAATCGACCCTTGTACAACCACGCCAGCAGCCCCTTGGCCGAAGTCGTTCGGATCTCAGGGGAGAGGCCAAACCCTCCGAGCTGGGGCATCCAAGTATGGGCATGGGCAGGGACAATGGCTTGGTTCTGGCAGATGGGACAGAAACCGGGATCGACTTAGTCCAGCGACCTGGATGTTACAAGTGGATGTGACGAGGAGATCTGCCAAAGGCGCAAGAATCGGGTAAAACCGGGTCACTCTTTTGGAAGTAGACCCGGGAAGATGAAGATGGAACCTGAAAATTGTCCTTTGCAAGACTAGCTTCCTAGCTTCCTCCACAAAGCAGTGGTTTTCAGCTTCCATGTTGAACCTTCCCGGGGGTGTAATTTTGATGTTTTCACACCTTGGGGCCCTGGGGTGATGACTGTGCAGAAGGAAGCCTTCCTTCAACCAACATTTCTACTTATAACATCTTCTAACGCGAACTTCTCGGACAGTCGCCGACACGAAGGGCTCAGCACAGCAGAGCCGCCTTGCTCCAATTTAAACATTATATAAATATATATATATATATATATATTTAACATTTTATAACGTGTCAGGTGGTTTGCAGCACTTCTCCTTTTACAGGTAAACACGATGATTCATTGATCACATATAAAAAATATATATAGGTTTGGTGTTCCACCCTTGAGAAGTTGCTGCTCCACTTGCCGGCTAGTGTGACCCATAATCCCCCCACCCACACACACACACTCACGCACTCACGCACGGACAGATACAGTAACTATTCCTGAGATGTCAGACACACTGTCGGGACTTCCAACAACAACACCTCCGCACTTTCATGGCGGCCGGCCGTGCCCCCGGCGCCACCGGACCGCGTGATGCTACGAGGTTTGATGAAGGCTGTGCCCCCGGGCGTTCCAGTCCCTGCGCCGATGCCGCCGAGCTCGTCGCCCGATGGGGCCAAGCCCGATTGCCACGTGGTCGCGGTTGGTGGCCGATGGAGGGTGGCTCACTTGGACCGCCAAGAGCGCCCGTGGTGGTAGCTGGGGTATGACACCATGTCTTTCGACATGTCTTATACGGCTTCAAAATAGCAGCATGGCAATGGTTTTTCAGTTGGATCCTGAGAGTGGCTGAATGTTAGCAAGCTTCTAGAGGTTGATTGAGTTGGCGTTTGATTGGCAAGACTTGGTAGCTGGATAGCTGGGTAGGAGCGACCCTTCATCCCAGAATTGGTTTAAGGGGAAGTCTACAGGAAAGCAATTTTTTTGGGGAGGGGGTGAAAACATGGGTTTCCACTCAAACGATATCGATCACCACAAAGGTCTAAACAAACAAAAAACATGCTTTGCAGCCTGCCCACTGTAGCCTGCCCGCAACGCGCGCTGCACCTCTCGCAGAGCGTGGCCTGACCCAAGGCATTGATGAGAAGCTGCTGGAAGAAGCAAGGGGCCTCAATGGTTCAATGCATCAGTGCCATGCGATAGATGGGGCAAAACTAGGTTGGTGACTCCAACCACATAGCGGCTCCAGCCACAACAAAGTACTCCACACCTGATTACTTGGATGTTACACTACCTCTTGGGGATGGTTTGCGCACGTTTGCGCCATCTGCTTTGAATTCACGAAAAGAAGCCCGCAGATGCAGAAGTGGAAAACCTTTTTGGGGTCCTTTGAAAGATTTGCCAAACGGCATGTTTTGCATTCTTTTGTGCCTGATCGTCCGCCAAACTAACGGCCACTCAGAAGGGATCAAAAATGAAATATCCGCCCGAACAAGTTCCTTTCGACACTGAGATTTCACTCAGAATATGTTTTGAATACATTACGAAAGCCAGCCTTCGTAGAAGGCGCTAGCGGAGTTGTGTCTGGCGAACGAAGTGAGTAGTTAGGGGGTCTGGGGGGGTGGCCCGAGAAAGGGACACGTCAACTCAGCACATGCTGGGGGAGGAGGGTGCTCCGAGGGAAGGTTTTTTGAGGTTGTGTTGGAGGTGATTTTTGAGGGGTGGTGATGCAAGAAATGCCAAATGCATCATTTGCATCATCTGAATGGAAAGGTGTAGTTGGCACCTGAGACCTAGGGTAGCTATAGTGCAGCTACCAGGTATAGTACTTCAAGTTCCCTTTCCGTCAACCGCTTGAGAACCTCTACACACGCACAGCAAGCCACAGCCTTGAAGTCTCATTCGTGCTTTGAACTTGTATAGGTGTGTAAGAGGTATAGCAACATACTACCTGAGAAGCTGCAAAACGAAAGCCAGCGCTTCCCTTTCTCGAGAACTGCGCGTCGAAGCATAGGATAGAAAGGTAGGTCTGCACCCTAGATCCACCATCCCACTCCATTTTCTTTCATTTCTCTACGGCAGCTCCGCTTGGCATTTGCCAGGTGGAGGCGGCCGTGAGACCTCTTACACACCTACACAAGTTCAAAGCACGAATGAGACTTCAAAGCTGTGGATTGCTGTGCGTGTGTAGAGGCTATCGAGCGGTTGACGGAAAGGGAACTTGAAGTACTATACCTGGTAGCTGCAAGCAAGGTGCCAACTACACCTTTCTTTTCAAGGTGGCCTGAACAGAGTGTTTCAGGGCAGTAAACAGAGTGTTTCAGGGCAGTAAACCGTGGTCTCAGGCCACCTTGAATTTGGCTTGAAAACCACAGCTACATAGCTACCCTGGGTCTCTATACCTGGCAAGGTGCCAACTACACCTTTATTTTCAAGGTGGCCTGCACAGAGTGTTTTAGGGCAGCAAACCCTGGTCTCAGGCCACCTTGAATTTAGCTTCAAAACCACAGCTTTGAAGCCTCATGCGCGCCATACCTGGGAACAGAATTGTAGCTACAAGACCTTTATTTTCAAGGTGGCCTGAACAGAGTGTTTTAGGGCAGCAAACCGTGGTCTCAGGCCACCTTGAATTTAGCTTGAAAACCACAGCTACATAGCTACCCTGGGCGTCTATACCTGGCAAGGTGCCAACTACACCTTTATTTTCAATGTGGCCTGAACAGAGTGTTTTAGGGCAGCAAACCCTATTTATACGGACCCAGTGTAGCTACAAGTAGCTACAGTTCTGGTATGGCGCGCATGAGGCTTCAAAGCTGTGGTTTTCAAGCTAAAGTCAAGGTGGCCTGAGACCAGGGTTTGCTGCCCTAAAACACTCTGTTCAGGCCACCTTGAAAATAAAGGTGTAGTTGGCACCTTGCCAGGTATAGACACCCAGGGTAGCTATGTAGCTGTGGTTTTCAAGCTAAATTCAAGGTGGCCTGAGACCACGGTTTGCTGCCCTAAAACACTGTGTTCAGGCCACATTGAAAATAAAGGTGTAGTTGGCGCCTTGCCAGGTATAGACACCCAGGGTAGCTATGTAGCTGTGGTTTTCAAGCTAAATTCAAGGTGGCCTGAGACACGGTTTGCTGCCCTAAAACACTCTGTTCAGGCCACCTTGAAAATAAAGGTCTAGTAGCTACAATTCTGTTCCCAGGTATGGCGCGCATGAGGCTTCAAAGCTGTGGTTTTGAAGCTAAATTCAAGGTGGCCCGAGACCAGGGTTTGCTGCCCTAAAACACTCTGTGCAGGCCACCTTGCCAGGTATAGAGACCCAGGGTAGCTATGTAGCTGTGGTTTTCAAGCTAAATTCAAGGTGGCCTGAGACCACGGTTTACTGCCCTGAAACACTCTGTTCAGGCCACCTTGAAAAGGTGTAGTTGGCACCTTGCGTGCAGCTACCAGGTATAGTACTTCAAGTTCCCTTTCCGTCAACCGCTCGATAGCCTCTACACACGCACAGCAATCCACAGCTTTGAAGTCTCATTCGTGCTTTGAACTTGTGTAGGTGTGTAAGAGGTCTCACGGCCGCCTCCACCTGGCAAATGCCAAGCGGAGCTGCCGTAGAGAAATGAAAGAAAATGGAGTGGGATGGTGGATCTAGGGTGCAGACCTACCTTTCTATCCTATGCTTCGACGCGCAGTTCTCGAGAAAGGGAAGCGCTGGCTTTCGTTTTGCAGCTTCTCAGGTATAGTCCTAGTCGGATCATGTTGGATCCTCATGTGAGAAGCATCCAACCTAAGATACTGACTGTCAGCAGTTGTGCATTATATACTGCATACTTGCATGCAACGAGCCAAGAATCTTCAACAGCCATACGTCGGTTAGAGTCGTTGATGTTTATTGCAAGGCCAAGTGTTTCCCAAATCAGCATGTAAGTGTACAAATTGAGGATAGAAGTTGAGTATCTGAGATGTATTTGAATACTCTTTCCGAAAAGGTGCTGACAGGAGAATATTAAGCTCAGACCCTGGCGGTCGAGTCGGAGATTGTCGGGCAACAGCTGAAGCGATCTCGCCAGGGAGAAAAGTGGTTCAGAGTTTTTTGTTTTTAAATTATGGCTCAGTCATATCAACATCATGAACATCAACAATCATTAGCAGCTAATCATTTGCATCCACTCTTTTCTAGTGGCCACTCCTTTGTCTTTGGCTGTTTTCATCCTCAGCATTCCATCAGCACTAAGGTCTTGAACTTGGACTTGTTCGACCATGATGGCGTCACTTACAAGGTGGCTGATTTGGGCAACGCCTGTTGGGTCGAAAGGCGCCGCGGCATGCACTGGAACGCTTCGACACGGCTGGAACGCTTCCTGAAGTCTTTGGTGTGAGGATATGTGATAGGTATGTGGAGTGAATTAGGAGTTGAGTTGATGACGTGACCCTGGAAAACTATGGAAACCTCAGGTCGAAAGTGTTGGATATTGTTGGTACATGAGCTGCTTCCGTGAGTTGACATGACCTGATCTTTCATTTGAGGTCATATAACATATATAACATTATATAAGCGTTTGGTACTCTACCTGAGGACCTGTGCCTGTGCCACACCCAGAACCATTTACGACACCCATGCTGCCGAAGAACATGTGTGATCCGTTCTAATTTGTGCGACATTTGGTCGATTGGGAACTTCATTCGTCCTTGGAATGAAGAAGGCAGCTGTACATGCCCACCCACCCTCTCAAAGTGCTCATCAGGCATTTCTCAGACGACATCCAGACGCGACAATACCGCTCTCCGGAGACCATTATCAATGCAGGATATGACACTTCAGCACCTTGGAAGTGAATGTGTGAATCTGATCGAGGAATCAAAGCCAGCTGGCGAGTTGCTGATGGTTGTTGGTGGGATTTATACGGTTGTCCCAGTGCGTTCTCACTCATCGAGTCATCGAGTTGGATGTGTGGTCAGTGGATGTCAGTGGTCGCCTACGGTCACCTGGTGTCTCTATAGCACGGATTGATGCAAAGCAACATAAAACACCATCTTCGTTGAGAGTCGAGACCTTCCACATAAACTAAACTTGAAGCCATTTGTTGCTAGAGCTTTGAAAACACACGTCTCATTTTTTCCTGCGAGTGCTTCTGTGACAGTGGAGCAATGGTGATGGGAAATGGTTCTTCAATGTTCTTCATCGGGTCCGGAGCAATCAGACCTTAGCACACATTGCTAGGGCGGATAGAGTAGTTGGCCATGGCCTTCATCTCCTGAAATTCAAAAAGGGGTAGGCGCTGTCTCACAAAAGAAATAGACTTGCAATGACTTGCATGCTATTCTGTACTCCGAGACTCATTTGCGTCCGGAATCCATTTGCAGGGCACCCATTTCGACCGTCAAAGCATGTAAAGGTGGAGCCCACAGATCTCACAGACCTCACATTGTTGCTAGAGAAATGGCGTGTGGGCGTCTCAAAGCTTGACAAGTAGCTTGACTGCCTCAAGTTAGGCTCCTTTTGGGGCGAGCCTGACATCTTTCAGGCTATGACCAAGACACAGCTTGACCTTACAAGTACCTTTTGTTCTGGACCGGGTTGAGTTCTTCAAATCCTCCATGCCAGCCCAACTTCGACCTTGCAAGGCTGATATTTGGTCACTGGCGTGCATGGCTGCCTTGGCTGCAAGAAGAAACGAATCCACAGACGTCCTGAGAAGCTGTTTTTGTTTGTTTTCAGTGTTCTAAATCACTACCTGAAGATATGTTTGGGCCAATCGAACCTCATGGCTGGCCGTCAGGATGCAGGTCACCGGCGGAAAGAAGCAACTTTTGGCTCCCAATTGGGTGAAGCCATACGGATGTAAGTGCATTTTATTTAGGGGCACCCAACCAATGTGTTTTGGCCGATAATTATAGAATATTATACAATATAATTAGTCCATAGTCCTTCTTCCAAGAGGTCTTTGGGAGGTCGCCCTATTTAAAATTTGACCATGGCCTTCACTGAAAGTACTTGCCAGGCTTCATGGAACTTGGATATCTGGGGATCCACTTGGGCTTCTTCCCTTCGAGCCGTTCGGAGCCGTTCGCGGATCGCCCTGCTCGTTTCACGAAGAACCCAGGTCTTCGAGCTGGCCACGGGCGATTATTTGTTCGACCCGAAGGCCTCGGATGAATACCCCCGCGACGAGGTTCGGGGGGGTCACTGGAGACGGGGGAGGCGCCGAAACGGAGAGAAGCCGAAACGGAGGAACGTGAGAGGTTCATGGCGCAAAAGAAGAGGCAGAGCAAGGAAAGGGAGAGTGAGAGAGGGGGGTTCTCAGGTCACACAAACACACACTTGGGATGTGTGTAAAAAAGAACTCCATTCCGCACTGACTGGCTGTTTCGCAGAGCGGACTGAGCCCGGACCTACTGCGCGCGGTGTGGACCTGGCACCTCGCAGGACCATTTGGCCCTCTTTATTGAGCTCCTCGGGCCAATGCCTAAGGACCTGATCAGTCGTGGCAGGCAGGACATGGGAACACCCCCTGATCAGTCGTGGCTGTCACGTGAGGACAGGCCTGATTTTGCTGACACCCTTGCTGGTGTAAACACCTGGTATAGCCGGTATAGCCGTCTAACCGCGTGAAAAGCAGTGCCGCGAGGCGTTCCACCACGTATTTCAACCGACGGGGAGAGCTGCGACACATTAAGTCGCTGCGCTATTGGCCACTGGCCGAGGTCCTGCGACTTGGCGAGGTCGAGCTGTCGGGATCGAGCTGAGGGGTGTTTCGTGTTTCTGGTTTTGTTGATTTTTTGCGTCGGGTTTTGGGATGATACAATGATATGATATACATACTGCATAATTATGGGTTTCAGCTGATTCCCATGTTTGCAACCATAATCACAGCCAGTCGATGACTTCTTGGTGCTTTGCACTGCCTCCTCTCAGACGTGAAGTGTCCGTTGCTCGGGTCGGATATTCAGGTTTCGGGTCGGATATTCAGGTTGCAGAAGTACCACATGCACGCGATAGAAGCAAGGAGCTTGGCATCCTTCCTGCTCCCCATGCTGCTCGGATGCGAAGGGTTGGGTTTGGAAGCGCTGGGCTCGGTTTGAATACCCCAGTTTAACACATCTCCACTCCTTGGTTCTCGACCGCCCAAAGCTGACATGGCAATGGATATCAATGGATAATCGTTTTTCGCATTGCCGCAGTCTCAACGTTTTTTAATTTTTCGTGTGATTTTTGGGCCAAAGCTGGAAGTGGTCAAGTTTTGTTGTTATTTCCCCATGGGCCACGGGAAACCACGGGCTTGGCGGCCTTGGTACGCGGCCTCTCACCGCCTTGACGGCCCTTGGTCGTGCGCTCCGCTCGGGGGGCGTGGTTGGAATATGTTGGAAGGAAGTCAGAAACTGTGTTGGAGTCAGAATATGTTGGAATATCCAGCTAAATATATCGTCAGAAACGGTGTTTCCATAGTTTTTTCATGTTTTTTCCATATAATATGTTGGAATGGAGATGAGCTGAAGAAATCCCTCACCGGACCAGACAGCTGACCAAGAAAGCGACTCCAAGGTTGCAGCTGTTGCCGGAAGACAGGAGCTGGCCACGGGTATGCTCATACTAGGCTCTGGCTCTAAACCAGCTGGGTTGATGTGTGTTGACTCTTGCAGACCTCTCGGGGCCTGAAGTTGCCAGTCTCATTCGTGTATATATAGGCAGACCAGCAGTCACAAAGGGGTGCGATCCATGGAGGTTAGGGGTGCCCAGAACATCCACTCACTTAGGGACTAAACACAACTCCTGTGTGACTCCTGGGAGTAGTGAGTAGTGCATGTCTTTGTCCTGGAAGTTCCTGCAAGCAATTTGAGGTGTCAGAACAGACCAAGCCGACCAAGCCGACCAAGCCCTGCTACTGTGAAGTGTCCTCTATATATTTGTGACGGGTTTGGCTTTATCCACGGGAGAAGGGATTGTTTGAAATGTTGCCCGTTTGGTTTACTTGGTGAGTTGGCAATAGACTATAAGTGCAAGAGAGCAAATCAGATGAAACGCAAGGCGCGATTCTTTTCCGCGAAGTCCTGCAGAACCCATGCACCGTTGGGTTCGTCGGCCCGTGGTGGGAAGTGGAAACCATGAGCGACCCAGGTTGTTACCTCTTGTTGGGCATCCCTATGCCAACTAAGACGAAGATATATAGAAACCACCACAATCTTGAGCAACATTTGTTGGTCACACGGTGTTTCCATCCAACTTTGTGAAGCGGAAAATAACGGGCCTCCAAGTGAGGCTGTCATTATCGCTGTTGCTGCATGGTCATCTCTGTCTACGCGCACGTGTTGACCCTCTGAATGTGTTTAAGCGATTTGCATTTCCAAAGGCAAAGCCTCCTGACAAGTCACATTCTGGACCTCGCTGTTTGGCAGGATTTCTGCCAAAGCTGCTCTAGAGCATCCCTGGCTCGGGGAGCTCGGAATATTGGTTTGGCAGGGACTTAGCATGGGGTTACGTTAGTAGGGTGGTGGCCATCGCAGCAGGTTGGAAGCCATCGTTATTCGGGTGGAGGCCATCGCCATTAGGGTGGAGGCTATCGCTATTGGGATGGAGGCCATCGCTATTAGGGTGGACGCTATCGCTATTGGGATGGAGGCCATCGCTATTAGGGTGGAGGCCATCGCTAGAAAGTTGGAGGCCATTCCTAGTAACTAGTAACCACATTATATATAGTTATATACAACTTACAACTCTGATGATTGACATGGAAGCTCAGAGAACAACCCTGCAAGACTGTTTCCCCCTACCAGCTGGAGGCCCTTCTTCAGGTTTCATGTGACACGGGCGCCCCCACCCAGAGTTCAACATGGCGCTCCCCGAATGCGCGCGCTGGAGGAGGGTCACCTTGACATTCGCACTCCAAGAGAGTTATGGTTATATAATGTTATATATGGTTATGATGGGCAGCACTTTACGGGAAGCATCACCCCGGTAGGCACAGCCAGCATGTCTCCTTGTCTGGTGACCCAACTGCTGCTTCGGGCCTGCGGATTCCCTTCGACGTCCGAAGAACACGGATGTGCCATGTCGGATGTGGAGAGCGAAGATAGAACTGCCGGGCCTCTTCAACGGACATGAACACCAAAAAAACGGGTGAGTTTTTAGAGTCGATGGCACGAACCAGTGGAGTCATGTTTACTCATCTACTCTGGAACAGAAGTCACCCTACCAATATCTACCAAACTATAGCTGCCATTGGCCGATGTGCAGATTTAAAAGAGATTGGGCTCAGGTCAAAGGGTCTAGACATTGAGATCACCAAAACAAAAGCAAAAACATGACAAGCATCAACCAACCAAACAAACAGCTGCATGCGTTGCACAGAATCTGCCCCGCGCGGATGGTCCGACCACGTCTGCCTCGCAGCTGTTCCTTTCGCGGTTTGCTGGCCATCGTCCTGCTGGGCGCTGCGGGGCGCTGCTTTATGGCATTGCAGGTGCGGCCATACCAGCAAGAATGCATTGACAAAGCCATCCAGGAGAGCACGAACACGTCCAGAGCCATCCGGTGGACTGTGGATGACGGCCGAACCGGGACGATGACGGAGAGGAGCCGAGAGCACGAACTCGGCCACGTAAGAGGGGATACCAGTCACCAGTCAACCACAAAACTTCAAGACATTTCAAGACATGATAGGAATGAGTAGCGTGAGAAGCTGGTCTGAGCATGTCTGAGCTTTTCATGAGGTTTCTATGTTCACGGGCTCCAATGGGAAATCATAATTGAATGATAATCATTCCATGACAGTCCAAACTTCCATGCCAACTCACCCACCACAGGGCGAGCAGCGTCGAATCCATGCTCTTTTTCATCGGTCGAATGCTTCTCTTTTTGACTTATCGAGAGCGAAGACGAAGCAGCACGTAGTTCTCGTCTCTCTCATGTCTTTTTCAGGAGAATATGGTGGTCTCGTTGAAAACCGGGGCCGGGAAGACCTTGGTCGCCGTCGGGTTCCCCAGCGGGTCGGCCGGGCGAGGGGCCGAAAGGGGGCCGAAAGGAGAGGAAGAGCGCGCACAGCGGCACAGCGGCGGTAAGTGGACCCAGTCCAACGATAGCTCCTGGTGGGTTCGGGATGGCCAGGAGATTCCGGGGATAGACACATGAAACGAGTGTCCATTCTAGAAGTTGAGCCCTGATGCAGTGGGCTGTTCAACCGCTCATCTGAGAACTAGGATCAACAAGGTCATTCCACCACTTGTGATGGGCTTGCGAAGGAGGATGGATTTGTGATGTGCCTGGGGTCCACCCTTTTCAACCCTTTCAGCCGCCCAAAGAGCCCAAGCTCCCAGAATCTGATGAAGGTCAAGGTCATTGACCACTTCCTGGAGAAAGAGGAGCGGCATGTGCTCTTTGTGGTGCCCACCAAAGCCTTGGTGAGCCAGCAAGCGAAGTGTCCCAGTGCGAAACAGAAACGGTTTTCATGTGGTTTCACCAAGTGCTGTTATTTGTCCGCCCTGGAAGATGAACATGGAACCTGAAAGTCACTGGGTCGTACTGTACTGTAGAAGAACATTGTATTCCAAAAGGTCCGTATTTCAGGTTCCATGATGTTCCGTGTTAATCTTCCCAAGTGTAAGTGGGGCCTCTCGCAGGGGACACAGAGCTGGCGATTTAGTCAATCGCCTACTGAAACTCCGATTCGCTTGCACGCAGGTTGTTGGCTGTGAAAATTAAAGACATTGATTCCTCCATTTGGGTGGTTTTGCAAACGGGTAAGATTCAACACGATCCAGCTGAAGTTTTGTGTTTGTTCAACTCGAGGCTCGAGGTGCTTCCACTCAGTTTGAGCTTCAGTGACTGACTTACCCTTCCAAGGATGCTCGTGCCAAGGCCACTTTCCTTTGGTGGCCGAGGTACTGTCAAACGCACTGCCAAGCCTCACCTCCAGCGGCCGAGCTTTGTGGCATTGAGCCCAGGCGGTAAACACAATGGAGCACCCTAAGACAGACGGTTTTCCTCTACCAACCAGTGGTTTTCAGGGTCGACGGTGCGTTTTCATGGGGGTATTCCCCAAAATTTTCATGGGGAGGGCAGAGGCGGCCTCGTCGCATGCTGTCATGTGGAATTGCGATCGGAGTTCTGGTCTCAGGGACCCCTCTCGAAGAACCATTTGAGCAGAATCGACCAGATGTTCGAACTACCATGACCCGCGCTACTTCCACAGCTTGAACGGTCTCATTCGTGTGGCTTTTCTTCCCAAACTCATGCTTAAAAGATGTTTGAAGGGTTCCCTGATTAGCGACTTCTTCAGGCATATCAGGAATCCGTGCAGCCTCAATGCAGATTGAGGGATCATCATCTTCCTTAGGTCCTCGTTTCGGGCCCTAAGGAGATGGAACGCTGGGACAAAGGCCGTTGGGACGAATGTCTTCGAAAGAACCGCTTATTGGTGGGAACTCCTGAAGTGTTCCGGCGAGCGTTGGATCAGGGTGACTTGGCGGATGACAGTTCCTATAATTTTGATGAGTCATTTGGTGATATTTGATGTTCCGATTCTTGTTTTTTTCCATGAATTTAAGGGAATCCAGCATTTGATTGGAAGCAAAGAAGCTGTGGGCACATTTGTTCTTCCATGTTCTTCCCGTTTTTTTGTTCAAGTAATGTCGACGTCGGATTAATCAACGGGCCCCCCCCCCCCTAGAAGGTCAACAAGGTCTGAGATAGGAGGTTTTGGAGATCACATCCCCCTAATAGTGGGGATGACCTGATGATGACAGGAGGAGGAGATGAGATGGGATGGAATGATGAGATCCATGAGAGCCCAAATACTAATTCCCTTTCATCATGAGATCCATGAGAGCTTATTGGCACAAATTTGATTTCTGAGATGATGAAAGGGAATTTGATTTGGAAGAATTGGAATGACAGGGAATTAGTATTTGGAAGAATTGAGATGAAAGGGAATTAGTAATTGGAAGAATTGGAATGAAAGGGAATTAGTATTTGGAAGAATTGGAATGAAAGGGAATTAGTACTTGGAAGGGTTGGGATGAAAGGGAATTAGTATTTGGAAGAATTGGAATGAAAGGGAATTAGTATTTGGAAGAGCTGGTATGGAATGATGAGATCCATGAGAGCCCAAATACTAATTTCCTTTCATCATGAGGTCCATGAGAGCTCATCATGGATGGGGTTGACTAATAGGGGGGGGTACCCCACTATTAGAGGGGGGTAGGGGGTGTATGGGGGGGTACCCTTTCTGAGCTTCTCAAATTGCAGATTTTGATAGAGTTTTAATAAGGGAAAATGAAAGAATTTTCCTAGAGAGCTTTTGGAAATTCTAGGAAAGCTGTTGCTTTGGGAGAGCATTTGTCAATCAGAAGATCAGTTTCACCATGGTAAGACAAGAAAATATTGAAAAGGCAAAAAGAACAAAACTAATTGAACACACATATATTTGAATAATTGTATTTTTCCTGGGGGGACAGGGGGTAGACTAATAGGGGGGGGTTTCAGCCAAACAATTTTTTTATTAGAGGGTGGTGACTGTGGAAATTCATAGTTCAAATTAGTTTATTGTAGGGGCCTGAACGCTGGGTAGACTAATAGGGGGGGGTTCCCTAATCCTAGGTTGACATTAGTTTTCTCTTCTTCTGTTGTGGCTGCTGCTTTCGCTGGTTTTGTTGTTGGACTTATTGATTGGCAGCAGAGACTTGTTCCAGTGAGTTGCAGGGTGTGGTGATGTGCCGAGATGTTGTTGTTTGGTTTGGATTTGTCATGTGACTGCCACTGGATGCCACTGGTGTAAGAACGAAAGTGGCCTGACAAGACAGAATAGGGAACCACGGATGGGTGTGATATAGTGTGAGAGTTCATGAAAATGACCCTTAAAAAATGAAAAGAAAAAATCAAAAAAAAAACATGTTTCTTTTACTACTTTGATCTGTTTTGAGCTTGCCACTAATTGACAGCGTGGATGAGTGTGGATGCGTGAATACCTAGCCACTGGCCAGTTCCCGGCGCAAGGGCGGTGAACAAAACGGCTACATTATGTATGCTAGTATGCGTGCTATATCAACCCTGAGCGACAGCAATGACCCTGCGCTAGGCAAGAACAAGATATCGGAAGTATTATGCTGGAAGAAGGTACAAGGAGTATACTTCTTTGACACGTTGTTAGACTTACACGTCCTCATGGACCAACACAGGACACTGTTGGGTCGACACCGACTTTTGGTTCCCCGCAGCGAGAGAACATGCTGGGTCCCGAGGCTATTTGAGGGCCGAGCAGCTCTCGTTGATCGTTCTGGATGAATGTCATCAAGCCCGGGGGGAAAGCCCCATGGCCAATCTCATGCGCCTCGTTTCGAGTCTCGGCGTAGAATCGAGTCTCGGCGGCTGACTCTTGCTCAGGGCTCGGTGACAGTTTTTTTTTTGGAGGCACCATTGTTCATTTCGCCACATGTCACATGGGTGTGTAAGCAATCTTGCTTTCTCACGTTCCTTAAAGATTCGTTTTGCCGTGCTTCTCTCCAATCAATCGCCGCGCAGTTCCAGGGGTTTGAACTCGCTAATTAAGGAATGCCAAAGAGAAGCCTCAGCCTCGAGTGCTGGGTTTAACTGCAAGCTTCTTCTGTGGAAACATGAAACGTCACCTGGCGGCGGACGAGTCGCTGACAACCGGATGACCGGATGACGGTAGGAGTTGGACTTCAAAGACGCACCTGTGAGGGGTTTGAACCGGGCTGTTTGGTGCGCTTTTCCGGTCGCGACTGTGCTGCAAGAAGTCTGATTGATTGTCCTATCAAACTATGGGCTAGAATATGCTAGAATGTGTGGGGGGCGGGTAAAGTAAGGTTCAAAGAGGGTTTGGTCTAGTTTTCCATGCAGTGTTTTTCAGTAAAAGTTAGGTCAGAGGGAGTTTGACCATTTGACCATTACATTGACGTAACCCCCAGGCCAGAAAATGGAAGACCTCCCACGTGCTCCTAAGCAGGTCCAAATGCAGGCTTCAACTCATACCAATGTGTGAGCCCACCGCTCAACAGACATTGCATGGAGTTTCGTTTGTATCGTCAGTGGGCACATCTCATTTGCCCCTAGAAGCAGGATAGGCTGGATAGGACATTGAATCTGATGAAGGTGAAAGGATCTACCTTTGGCTTTTTTTGTTCCATCTAAGCTGTCAAATGTGGTGTTCAGTGTTCATGGACTCTCCAATGAACAGGACCACCCTCCAATCGGAGCCGGTCCGCGCCCTGCTACGACCCCCTTGGCCGCCACAGCCATGGTGCTGAGGGAAAAGAGATGCCGAGAAGGCCAAGATGGAATCTGAGATGCAAGGTAAGGGGCGAAGTAGTCTGGTAGGTTTTTCTGACCATGAGAATGAGGGCGGGAGGCGCTGTGAACAAAGCTGCAGTAGCTACAAGCACGTAAAGATTGCATCGTAGAATGCCAATATGCAACCAGGCATCAGCTTCCATGTTTCCAACGCTTTTGTTCCATCTCAAGCTTTAATTGGCCTTCATGTCATCATCGGGGGCACGAGGGTTGCAAATGATTTGCTGGAATTTTTGCTGATCCATCAGGGCAGCCACGTAAGGCACTCACCGGGCCATGAGAAGCGAGGCAAGGAGAACAGGCACAGGTTTGGAGAGACCTTAGTATGTCCCCTCAAAGGCTCAATTGCTTTCAATTGGAGAGACTTACTATGTCCCCTCACAGGTTTGGAGAGACCTTAGTATGACCCCATTGGATGTCAAGTTGTAAGTTTCATGTCATAGTGGGGCCCAGGGTCTCCAAGAATGTTTGGATCCCCTCAGTGTTTTGAAATTGGGGGACACGTAAAGCGCATGCACGCGGGTGACTTTGATGATTTGCGTGGCAAGCCGTTTCGGCGTCGGTGTTGATCAGAATGTGGGCCGCCCATATCAGAGATACCCTGTCATTCGGTTGCTCCAAGGGGTTTTCAAAGCGGCACGGTTGCACTTCTTCTCTTGACAGTTTCGTGCCTCACTCTGTGCCTAGCTGAGGGCCCAACTGTTCTGCGTAGAGCTGGAGCAGCCCCGTGTGTAGGTTGGAAGGCGAACAGTCAGGCCGTTCAACCTATTGTTGGGTGCCGCAGCCGAAGACCGTCCGCCGCACATAGCCTAGCGAAGAACCAGGCTCGCAGCACATAACGAAGCATTCTATTGACTGGATGTGCCTTGCGGTTGGTCAGCATCTAGACTGGATGGGGCCACAAGGTGGCAAAATCCCGGAAGCCCGACGCTCCCCTCTCAGGAGATGGAGCTGCTGTTGGGGGCCGGTGCCTGGGTGAGAGAGATGGGGAGTGTGGACCTCCAATACAACCATATACAACCCGTGCTTTTCAGACATCACAAAGCGACGAACTTCCCTCGTGTTGCACGCTGGAATTCAATCACGTCATGTTTGGGCATGTTCTTCCGATGGATAGCTGAGCGGTGTTCAGAGACGTTCGGTCTTCGCTTTGGCTGGGACGTTTTTCAGGTCCTTGATCTTTGGGTAGAAGTTAGTAGTATATAATTTTATGTTTTGTGTGCGAAACCATGTGCCGTGATGGAAACCATGTTCGGCACAAGGTTCGGCACATGGTTTTGTGGTGTGCCATCTGCCGTGGGCCGTGGAACGGAAGGTGCCATCCATGTCAGCCCGTTCGACGCGAAACACCTGGCAAAGCCGAAGAATCAGACGTGTCAAGAATCGTGCACAGGTCTTGCGAACGGGTTGATGCTGTAGTTACTGCAGTTTCTCTTGGGATTGAGCAGGTTTGAGGACCCGATAGGACCCGTATTTGTAGAGGAACATGTTGTTCCTAGGGTCAATGCGTCTCACAGCAAGGAATCGAGGAAACTACACGGTTTTGCGTGGCAGAATGATGAACACACAGGCAACATTAACATTGACAAGGCACCGTGAAGCAAGTTTGTAGGCCATTTTTCTCAGGTTTCCTCGCGCCTGAAGTGTCAGAGGATGCACATCATCAGTCGACAGACTATGAGGAAGTCCACTGGCGAGCGAGCAGTTGCGTGGCGAAGGGACAGCAGAGCCTTTTTTTGGTGTTACTTTTGTTTGGGTGCGGGGTATGGGAGGTGGATCCGCGGTTCCCTCCCCCCGTAGTCCAAAAACTGTCAGTCTCATGAAGACTCTGTGGGGCCCGGGGGGCCTCTTGCACCAAACGTTCCAAGGCGGGCATAGTGACAAGACCTTCTCTCGTGACTCCTGAGCAAGTAACGAAGTAACGAGCGTCCAAGCCACAAGCGCCAAGGCTATGGCGCAAACTTTGAGAGCGAGATTCAGCCAGGTTTGTCCCGCATGGCTGAGACGCTGGGAGATGGAGCCGACGTCAAGGACTTTCAAAGGCTGGGATTGAGGATGAATCACGTGTCTCGGCTGATGATGGAAGGGGCGTGGTGGCAACAGGATTTGAAAGATGGAAGTAGCGTTAGTTAATTTAGTCACATTAATTATACCTGTTCTTGAGTCATAGTTGCGTAATGCAAGAAAAATGAATGAATAATAGCACGCCCTCAAAACATTCTTTCGATAGTCTCATAGGGGAATTCGTTCGGAGCCCTACTGTTTCTAACCGTTTGGAGTTGGAGCGTTTCAAAATGGTTCAAGTCCATAGGATTTCTTTGGATTGCCTTCCGGTGGTGTGTGATTTCATGACCTTTAGCAATGTGACTACGACCCGCTTGGTTTAAGCAATTTTACTTGGTCGGGGCTTTCTTGTGGGAGGGGATCTCCATATTGCTGTTCACTGATTCTTTGCTTGAATTGCGTGAGGCGTGAGGTGACATTGGCAACTAGGCTAAACTATGGCTATCCCACTCTGAACCAATGCATACGGATAAACCCAAATCAGGGCAACAACCCAATCCAAGCAACCAGCGAACGCCACTGAACTCTGTGGTCAGTAGCAGTGTCACAGTCTTAAACTTAACCACGCCGTTGATGTTTCACTGGCATCACAACCTTCCTTTCTGGGCCGTTTTGGACCATGTCCTGCACTGTTGCACTGTTTGCGACCCTTCTTCAGACGGCAGGTCTTCAAACAGCTCGGCCGCAATGCGTTGAGCAGCTACACCCAGCACTGCATCGTCCCACAGTTCAGGGAAAAGGCCAACACCGTGATGATGGCGGAAACGGTGTCTGAGGAGGAGCGGAGGTATCACAAGTCCGTGCTTGAGACCCTCGGCCTTGGCATTGTCTTTCGCCCGGAAGTTGTAATTTGTTCAAGATGGCCGGCTCAAATCTGCCGAAACGCTCGACTTTTGATCGGAAGCCCATGGGTGGAAGACGTGTACGGCACAAAGACAAGGAAGGCCCACCGACGTTCTAGCGAGGCAATGGACAATGACAAACTTATATGGCGTAACATATATATATATATATATGTAATATAAATATATATTAATATATTATGATAGGCTCACTATAAGAAACATTAACAGGTTGTTCTTCCTAGATTCCATGCCTCTTAGGCGTCTACCAGACCTGAAGAATTGGGCGCGGACCTTTCACCCAGAATTGCTGAAGCTTGAGTCGGTGCGATCTGCGCCGGAGATTTCACCCAAAGTGGACCGGTTGCTGCAGCTTCTCGAGCAGGAGCCATTGAAGGGACAGAAAGGAAGCTTGGAGATCAAATTTCAGTTATTTTCAGATGGTGAAAGGACAGGGTGTTGGCTATATCCAGGGGGTGTTGGGTGTTGGGGGACATTGGACAGATCTACTATTCAGTCGCCTTGGGTGGGGGCGGGGTCTTGTGAGGTGGGCTTCCCCTTCAAGCGTGCCTAGAGGCCGCGTTCCTTACCAGCTTGGAGGAGGCATTGGAAGATTTTCCAGCCAACTAGGCTAATTATGAGGGGGTTGGTGTTTGATGTTTGCGAGTTGATATGAGAATCCCACGATACCTCACATTCTTCTAAATTATGCAGATTATGACGCCATGATTAAGCCAGAAACCGTACAAGGGCGGGTTGTTGAGGCGCACAGAGATAGAGGGACAGAGAAAGAGAGAGAGAGAGAGACGACAACAACGACGACAACAACAAATATTGGTTTTCAACAGTAGATGGTTCCCACAGCTATAACTTCCACAACAGGCCAGGCTGCCCCTTCGCTTCTCCGACGGTTCACCGCAGGTCGCACTGGGTCGGTGACTCCGCTGTTTGTTTCTGTACATCCACTTCATTCCACATTCCCACCGATAACGAGTTGGGAATCCAGCGAGTTGAATCCGTTGAACTGCTGTGTGTTCATCATTGTATCCACTTGCCGCGGCCAGATTCGGTGGCTTGCCGGCGCCCTCATGGATGTGAGCTGGAACAATGTTTTCTTTTAAGCCGGTCATTCGCCGGGGGCTTTTCGCGGCGCAAGGCATTGTTTTCGTGGAGCAAGTGTCTTGCACTGTGCCCCTGGCGCTGACGATCAGTCAGCGCTTGGGCATCCACGCGGAGGCTGCTTATGGACAGATGTCCAGGCGGTCCTGGGGGGAGGGCCAGGATGAGGTTTGACAAACAGATGACGAAGCGCATCGAAGAGGATCTGACTTTTTCATGATTTTGAGGTAGTCGAAGGCGCTTTCCCATTGTATCCCATTGTCATGAGAAAAGACCACGGCTTCATTCTTTTTGATTGGGGAGCACCTTTTTAAAAGGAGTTCAGCCGGAGAGAACCAAGCACTTGAATCGACGCTGAAGTCTTAACCGGCTTCGCCCCAAGGGGTCACAGCCAGTTCTGGGGTGATGCGCAGGACCTTTGGAAGACTTCCCCCAGTCTTTGAAGTCACGAAAGGTAGCCCGAAAGGTTGAGGGGATACCTTGAGGACCTTGAGTTTGTGTTGCGAAGCAGGTGTGGGCTCCTCCGGGTCTAATAATTGCTAGGCCAATTCAACAACCCCCGGGTCACTTGGGGCTATTTCTGTCTATGTTTTCCTCCCTATGTTGCCACGTGTATGAGGCCCGAAGCTAGGCCATACGTGTATGTGCGGAGTGCGCGAACGTCATCGCCTGAACGTGGCCTCGTAGACCCAGTTCGACCCGCTGACCCCGCGGACCCTTTCGGTGTTCAACGACAGCGATCACCGACTGAATTGGAGATGACTAGGCCCTAGGGCTCCAACCACCTCCGTTTCGAAGATGGGCCGTGGGTGCCAGGGGGGTCTAACCATCTTCTGAGGATATGGTTGGAGCCCTAGGGGGGGTCAAGGCAAGACCTGAACAAGATCTTGGATAGTTTCAAGGATCCTGGGCGGAAATGGGCCGTTCCATCGTGGAACCAGGACGAGGAAACATGACGGAAAGCCCACGTTTTCGCCTGCGACTGGCAATTTTTTCGACTTCAAGCGATAGACTGAGAACCATTAATAATAGAAACGCAAAGCAACTGCACTGCATCTGCACTGCTTGATATATTTGATCATGTT